TGCAAATGAATAATCTTTTGCATCTCTTTTTCACAAGTAGAGACACGTGGATCAAGATGAGACAATGATGGATTTTTTCACAAAATTTTTCGTTTGGTCTCACCATTTTCTCCCCCTAAATTTGGGGAAAATATCTCATTGAATCGACAATCTGCAAATCTAGCAGTAAACAAATCTCCCGTTAATGTTTTGAGGTAGCGAATAATAGAGGGCAATTCAAACCCAACATATATACCTAACCTTCTTTTGGGGACCCATCTTGGTGCGATATGGCTGTGCTACAAACACATATACTGCGCATCCAAAAATTCTTAAATGGGATATATTAGGTTCATGACCCAAAACTAATTGCAACGGGGAATGTTTATGATTATTTGTCGATCTGAGACTAACTAGCATTGTTGCATGCAAAATGGCCTGACCCCAAATAGAAGTGGCCAAACTCGTTTTCATGAGTAACGGTCTTGCTATCAATTGTAGACGTTTAATCAAAGACTCTGCAATGCAATTTTGAGTGTGAACATGAGCTATAGGATGTTCCACTTTTATTCCAATTGATAAGCAATAATCATTACATGCTTAGAATGAAAACTCAACAGTATTATCAAGTCGAATAGACTTAACTGAATTATTGGGGAACTGTGTCCGTAATCGAATTATTTGTGCCATTAATTTTGCAAACGTTATGTTGCAAGATGACAATAGGTACACATGAGACTATCTAGAAGATGCATCTATTAAGACCATAAAATATCTAAACGACCCATTAGGTGGGTAAAAAGGTCCACAAATATCCCCTTGTATACGTTCCAAAAATGCAGGGGACTCAATCCCAACCTTTGTTGGTGATGGTCTAACAATTAACTTGCCTTGATAACAAGAAGTACAAAAAAATTCATAATTTAAATGAATCATTAAATTCTTTAATGGATGCCCATTTGAGTTTTGTATAATTTGCCGCATCATAATTGATCCAAGATGTCCCAATCGATCATGCCAAAATACAAAATTATTTGAATCAGTAACCTTTTGGTTTACGATAGAATGTGCCTCAATTGCACTAATTCTTGTCCAATACAGGCCACAAAACAAAGATGAGAACTTCTCAATAACCCTTTTTTTTGCCAGAGACATTCTCGATAATAATGAGATATTCAAGATTATTCTCATCTATTCTCAATATGGTATACATTCGGCAGATATCTTTAAAACTCAACAAGTTCCTCCTAGACTTGGAGAATGATATTGCATTATCTATGATAAGTATTGTTCCCCTAGCCGAGTTATCGTAGCTCTTCCAGAGCCTTCAGTTAAATTACTACTATAAAAAATTATAGTAACATCTGCCTTACACATACTTAAATGAGAGAAATATTTCTTCTCTTTAAATATTGTATGTATCATACATGAATCAATTAAACAAATATTTTTACGATTGAACTTTGATCCAAGTTTGCTTTTAGAAATATCCATATTTGCTTCCTATGGTTTGACATAAAAAAAGAAATATACGAATAAATATTAGTATTTTAGAGAAAAAAGAAAAGAAACAAAGTTAAATCAATGGTTCAATAATGAACTTTTAATGCAATTTCGAGCAAACTCATGATTATGATACAAATAATTACGTAGCCAAAAATAATGTAATTATAAATACACTACACATATGTGTGAGGACCCAAAAAGTCATCTTATGTTTTAGAACTCGATTCTGTGTTCCGAGGCCTTTAAAGCCTTATTTCATTCCTTCTCGATTTGCGTGCATAGTCCGGGCGTGTTTCAGAAAAGTTTTTATGTTGAAAGTTGATGAAAATAAGGAATTTTACTTTAAAACTTCATCTGAGTTGACTTCGGTCAACATTTTTGGTAAACGAACTCGGACTCATGTTTTGACAGTCCCGGTGGGTCGTATCAAAATATGGGATTTGGGCATATACCTGGAATCGAATTTCGAGGTCCCTATCTCGAGATATAAATTTTTGTTGAAAATTTAAAGACTGAAAATATAATGGTTTTAAGAATTTGGTTAATGTTTGATCTTGTTGGTATCGGGCCCGTATTTTGATTTCGGAGCCCGGTACAGGTTTATTATGATATTTAAGACTTGTCTGTGAAATTTGGTGAGAAACGAAATTGGTTTGACATGATTCGGACGTCCGGTTGTGAAAATAGAGGTTTTAAAGCTTTCTTGAAAATTTTATTCTATTTGGTGCTAAATCCGTAGTTCTAGGTGTTATTTTGGCAATTTGATTGCGCGATCAAGTTCGTATGATATTTTTAGGACTTGTGTGCATGTTTGGTTTGGAGCCCCAAGGGCTCGGGTGAGTTTCGGATAGGCTCCGGGGTGAATTGAACTTAGAAAAAAATATGCTTTTCCTTCAGCTTCAGTGTTTTCTGGTTTCCTTCTTCGCGTTCACGAAGAGTGAACTGGAGCTGTGTGGATTTTATTCTTCGTGAACGCGTAAGCTTGGTCGTGAACGCGTAGCGTTAGGGACCTAGGGGAGGGGACAACCGTTCTTCTACGCGAACGTGAGCACTGGTTCGCGAACGCAAAGGCCGGGGGGAGCAGCCTTCACAAATGCGTAGTAGGACTCGTGAACGCGTAGGCCTTTTGGGACGCTGCCTTTCTTGAATGTGGCAGGCCCTTCGCGAACACGAAGAAGGCCTGACGCCTGTGACTTAAAACAGAATCAAACACGGGAATTTGCCATTCTTTCAAAAATTTCAAAACTAGAAAACTTAGAGGCGATTTTCAAGAGAGATTTTCTTCCCCAATTTGTTGGTAAGTGATTCCAAACTACTTTCTTTCAATTACCCATTGCAATTCATGAATTTTCAACCTAAAATCTAGAGTGTTCATGGTAGAATTGGGGGTTTTTAGGTAGAAACTAGGGATTTGGAAAATTAGGGATTTAGACCTCGAATTGAGGTCGGATTCCAAAATCAATTATACATCCGGGATCGGGGATGAATGGGTAAATAAATTTTGGTCCGAACCTCGAGTTTTGACCAAGCGGGCCCGGGGTCGGTTTTTGACTTTTTGGGAGAAAGTTTGGGAAATCTAAATTTATGCATTGTAATTGATTTCTTTAGTAATATTTGATATTATTAAGTCGTTTGTGGATAGATACGAGTGGTTCGGAGGTGAATTCTAGAGGAAAAGCGATAATTGAGCATTGAGTGGCCTTTGCAGCGAGGTAAGTGTTGTGTCTAACCCTGACTTGAGAGAATAGGGATTGTTGTCTATTTGCTACATGTTTAGATGTTGGGGAACAACGTATATGTGAGATGACGAGTACTTATGCGTTATAGTCGGGTTAAAGCATACGGGTGGGGCTTGGTTTCTTGCAATTATAGCTTTCTTTGTTCATGTTATCCATGTTTAGACTAGTATTGTTAAATTGATCGTTTTTATCATGTTTACGGATTTTCTGTTGATAATTGAGTATTGATTTCGAAGCTGAGGTTGGTATTGTGAAACAAAATATTGAAATAAGGCTGGTAGTTGTTATTCTATCTCCCTGTTGTTATTTGTTCATTGCATTATGGTAAGGGAGAGTGTTAATGCACGAAGGGTGATGTCATGCTATATTGTGAGTGTTAATGCACGAAGGGTGATGTCATGCTATATTGTGAGTGTTAATGCACGAAGGGTGATGTCGTGCCACGTTGTGAGAGTTAATGCACTAAGGGTGATGCCGTGCCATATCTATTAATTTATATGGTGAGGCTGAGAGTAAAAGTACAAAGGGTGATGCCGTGCAATTCTCTTCATTGTGTTTAGTTGTTTTTCACTGGTTAAAAGCATGTTGATCATTCTGGTTATCATTTCCGCTATATCTCCTATATCCTGTGCCCCTTTATCATGTTCCCCATCCCAATAGTACATGTTTAGCTGTTACTGTTGTTTTCTTGTACATATACTATTATCTGCTCAGGTTTATTATGTGGGTGTCTTGTCATAGCCTCGTCACTACTTCGTCGTGGTTAGGCTTGACACTTACCAGTACATGGGGTCGGTTGTACTGATGCTGCACTCTGTACTTCCTGTGCAGATTTTGGTACCGGCTCGAATTGATCGAGATTTTAGCTGTTGGACCCGCTATCCGTAGACTCAAGGTAGATCTGTCGGCGTTCACAGACCTTGAAGTCCCCGTCTATCTTTTATGTTTTACTATTTCTTTCATTCAAACAGTTATATTTCTCTCAGACTATTACTTGTAGTGAATTCTAGAATGCTCGTGAATTGTGACTCCAGATCCGGGTGGTAGTAATTAATGTAGTTTTTATATTATTCCGTACTCACTATATTTTATCTTAGCTAATTTGTTGTTATTTACTGAATGAAAAAAGGATTGGTTTAATGATTTTCTAACATTGGCTTGCATAGCAAGTGAAATGTTAGGCGCCATCACGGTCCCGACGGTGCAAATTCCAGGTCGTGACAATATGACTGGTACAACTGCCTCAAATTTATTTACATGTATAAGTTATATACGTTTGTATTTAATAGTGAGTTATAAGAATTATTATAATGACTACAAATACCAAGTCAGACTCTCTAACCAATATACATACTTGAAGGCATAGATGTCATATCATATCTATTAAAGATATCGTGAATTTTTTCTAGCATTTATAAAATAAATAAAAATTATCCTGAATGAATGGATCTGCTAATAATGCGAAAGAGAATGACATTTAGTATAATTACTAGTAAGGTGTTGCCCGTGCTAAGCACGGGCCCAATAGTGCAATTATTTCAAATAGTATCCAATAAATGGTTCTGTAAATTATTTTTTCTCCTACTTCATCAATTCTATAGGAGCCTAAATTGTCCAAGGAAAATGCCATGTTCCTTCGTCTGGTTTGGTATCTTATATCAATCAAGAAAGTGAGATAAAAATAGGACTTATTCTTAGAGATGTTTCTTTCGTTGCAAGAACGAGAAACCTATATAGGCAACATTTGTGGAGTACAATAAATATTTTCAACCAAGCTGACATTGTAAATGCACGTGTAATATTATGTAGCAATTGAAATATGTGATAATTTAATGAAGGATTGGAAATATACTCTTCTTTTACTGAGCGTTCCAATAGCTGTTTGTAGTTTTGTTCGTAAATATACTACACTACAAAAAAATGCTCTTACATCACATACGTAACTTTATTAATTCTTTGTCCTTGCCAATCTGATAGTAAGCATGTGATATTCTGTGGCATCACCCAGTCAATAGCAAAAAGTTTAAATGGTTGATGGATTCTTTGTCAGTTTTTACACATAACTGAGAGTCCTCTTCTCTGCCAATTATCTTGGCTAAGACATGCTGCCTCGACAGCATTCCACACAAACCAGGGTATTTTGGTGTATTGTTTCTGTCCTCCATGTCATCTTCTAAGACCACTTGTTGTCCCAGTTACTATCGAGCTTTTGGAGAAGATTGTAGCAACTTTTAATAGAGAAGAAGCCACTATTGCTAGTAAGCCAGTTTGAGTGTCCATCCTGCTGTCATCAAAGAGAGATTGGCTGCAAAAGTGTGAAAGGTGACTGATATCTTGGATTTGCATATCATTAAAGTTTTTCTTAAACTATAAATGTTGACAAAACATTCACCAAATATAAGCATTTTTGTTCAGAGTTAAACTACAAAGAGTAGGGAACTCATCCTTTAATATCCATGTTTCAATACAACTATCTGTCCAAAATTTTGTCTTCCTTTTCATCCCCATCTTCAATATGATACTGCTGTATCAGGTTGTTTACCTGCACTGCTAAAACACAAAATTATAGGAAGCATATAAATTTTACATAGCATATCCTTCCATAGATTTAATAGAATGTGCACATAAAAGAACGTATAATTTGTCATCAATCAGAAGTAAAGGTTATGCACTAACCATTCATAGAAGGTGATATAATTGATGTACTTGATGCAAAATTCTAAGTAAGGTGATCTTCAAATTATCACGGCAAAAAGGCAGGACTCTGATCTTGTATTCCTACAAGGTTGAGAAAGCAAGACTGTTCTCAGCCAAGTTCCCAAAATAGTTAAAGAGATGAATAGAGAGAATGGAGGTATGATTCTTTATTCTTGAGAAAATATAGGTACATTACCAATCACGGTAACAATTAATGCACATTGAATGGCAGCAATTCGGTAAGACCATTTTGTTACAAGGCTCTAAGCATATTTCGCATTCATCTTCTCTCAGTTTTGAAGTTGGCAAATTTAGAGTCTCCTTTCATTTTCTTCTGAGAAATTTCAAAGCCATGATTTACAACTTTACTATTGCCCAGCTCTATAAGTTAGAATGTAGCTGGTATAATGATGGAGGTATAACATATTTTGTCGTTATCAAGGGCAAAGGTTCAAGCACAATCAAGGTAAGGAATCTGTTTGAAAAATGAGTACGTAAGAAACTAAGTGAATAATAGGAGAATGAGCAAAGAACCATAAAAGCCGCTAATAGTTGCTCTGCTTCCATGTCAGAATATCTTTGGTTGGTCTCTCATCTGTATGTACCTGCTAAAGGAGAGGGAATATTAAGAAAATAAAAAAAGCAGGTAAAAGTTACATAAGACTGCTTCCACTACATGATAAGACTGTACTACTATTGTTGTGTCACTAATAAAGTGCGGAAAAGAAAAATATTGAATATTCTTTAAATCCAGTGTTGCTAATGCACTTGCATGGAAAGAAGGTTAAAGAATAATTACAAACTGAAGTAATAGTTGGCATGCAAACTATTACATAAAAATCAAACTTGGAATCTGCCAACCAATTTGAAGAGCAAAATACAGAGTAACTGAATCTAGAAAAGACAAATCAAGTGAAGGAGAAACATACAATGAAGAACAAAAGAGTTACGAATTTTCAGTAGAACGACAAGCAACATGAGAGGAAATATCAAATTTGATGTATTTCATGCTTTCTTTACAAAACCTATGTATATCTCGGTCACACTCAATTAGATGAGGTTCTACAGTAAAATAATGCACTATGTATTTGTAACTAAATAAATCCACGGCATCAATTGGCGAACTCCGTTTTTCAAAAGCTAACCAAGGCAAAGTTACATTCACGAAAAATCTTCAAATTTCATCACAACTTGAACTGTCTACCAGATAAATTATAGTAATTAATTAAAAAGTTACGACATCAATTTGTTTAATCCATGAAAATCTGAAATTTTAGCAATTTATAGAACCTTCACGTGAAATATCTAACAACGGCGACTTCTACATGCAAAAAGAATACACACACAGATATTTACCCTTCAAAGTATAAATCTGTTATTTTAACTAACCAAAATATAGAATAACTTTTCATAATACAAGTTGTAAATTAATCCATGTATGATATTAACTAGCCCAGTAGAAACAAAGAAACTTTTCGCAATAGACAGGAAAACTACCTATCATCGAAGTTGATATTGATGTACTTCTTAAATACCTGAAAATTAAAGCGTTAAACACTTTAATTCATAACATTAATAAGTACATAAATGACATAAAACGAAGAAGCATTAAAAAATATCAATGAATGACGTACAGCTATGCTCAGAAGCTTCTGAAATAATTTGTATCCTCTGTTTCTCTATTGGTTCTTCCTGTTTGATAGAGAAGAGTGAATACAAATCAACACTCACCTGATAAACTAAGTAGCTTAGAAAATGGAGTAGAATGATAAATCAAAGTAGCACCAAAAAAGCGACAACACGATGAATAGCACGAGCCCAACACTCTGAATAAATATTGCTTGTTAGCATACAAACGGCCAAACTGTTGTGGAAACGCATATACTCTATATTCTTTTCTGTTATGATCGTATAAAATAGACTATCAAGTATAAAGCGAATGAAGTCATATAAAATAGACTCTTAAGTATTAAGTGAATCGAGTGTAAAGAGTCTACTAAATGAATTTTAAGATACCATTAAATGATACATCTTTGATGCGGAAGAGGCATTAGTTAGAACCATTCCACGACACGTTTGAGATAAAAACCTGCTTCTGGAGTAACAACAGAAAGAGATCGCAGTTCTTTCTGGATTTTCCTCCTTTCATAGCCAAGGGAAGAATTTCTAGGACTAATTGTGTTCTGTTTAGTGGATCATTATCATAGTTCTTTCGATTACGAATATAAAAGAAGAAAGGAGTAGCTCAATTAGCAGGTAGGGGGAGAAGAAGAAAGGATCATAATCAACCCAGACTTTGGGAGTCATATTCTTTTGTGCTAACATCTACCAATATCAATTTTATAAAAAGAAGATAATCTCTCTAAAATGAAATTCGATAGCCAAGAGGAGCTATGGAATTTCGGACAAACTTAAGCACCACGATACTACATATCACAACTCCATGGCCCAAGCAACTCTTGTGGTATTTTTTCTCTGTAGAACGTGTTTGTTGAATTCCTAATTGTAGAAACTCACATATATGGTATACTTTTAGTTAGATCATTGCAAGATTCATGATTCTTCTTTGGCATGTGATGTTTGACTTACACATAGGGTACATATATTGACTCTTCTAATGCATAATCCACATATAAATGGAATTATGATTAGTTGCAAAAAGAAAGAAATGAAAAGGGTAAAGAAATCAAATTCAGAATGAACAAGAGAGATAGGCGCCAAACCTTATAAATGAGGATATGAAAGAGATTTAGATAACTGGGAAGCAAGGATGTGCAAGAACAATCTATCCAACAGAGTAAACATAGAAGCACATGAGCTAATTCATTGTATGGCAGTTTCATTTGAAGACATGTCTCTCCCTTCTCTCTTGGAATTGCAGCAGCCCTGTAAACCAGCAAATTAGTTCATTACAAAATGAACTCTGAGTAGACAGAAATAAGAATTAAAATATATCAGCCACAAAATCATCACCATGTCCAACGTCCAAGGCATGAAAGAAACAACCGCATAAAAAATTTGATACTAATGGCGTTTTTTCACAGGAATAAGGGAACTAATTACTTGGATTAACGGTTAAGTTACTATGGAAGTGCAAGCTTTTCTTTTTTAAAGCCTAATCTAAAATATGTAGTTTCAGTCAGATGTTATATTCTTTGATGGAATAACTCATCTTTTTGACAATTGATGTGAGAAATAAATACACCATTTGAGGAATATATGATTTTGGTGAAGATTTGCGTGCTAAATGTAAGAGCAACTGGCTAATAATTTGGTAGCACAGAGTTCATATGTCAATGTATTCATTCAAGAAAGAAAAATTATAGATCGCTGGATTGTCTTATTCTTCACATTAGTATGAAGTTTGTTTCCACAACAGAACAATTTAAATAAATACCCTTCTAGCCGTGTCTAATGGTGATATGTCAGAAATTAAAATTATGCAGCGAGAAAGAGGAAAACATAGAGGCACAAATCAACAGTCTAACCAAGGGTATACAGAAGAAACCAAAAAGACCTTACTCAAATTGCAACCAAAGAATGAGACCTGAGAATACAACATACATGAGAAATCTAATAGAAAAACTGATATGAATAATTTTATCAAACACCTAGAGAACAAAATCGATTAACATATTACACTTTCTCTGTGGGAATTCACTCTCACTCGCTACTCAGGGGAAAACACAAACACCTAGCATATCGCCAAGGACTGAACTAAATTAATACAAGAATACCAAGTAGAAAATGACAATGGACAGAGCGGAGGAGTGAGAGAGCAGAAGCATATCAAGAGAAGAGATGTTTGCAGAAGAGGTGTTTGCACGTTGAGCTTTTCACGAAGTATTGAGAGAAATCAAACGGTGACTTAACAACTATCAAAATTGGGCTACACGTGTTGGGCTGCAAACAGAAGCCGCAAGATAATAATGGGCCAGGCAGACATGTTGACCATGAGCTGTCTGTCTGGTTATCCTCATTTATAGTATAGGAATAGAAATATCTTACACCTAAATAATGCGATAACATGGTGTGATATTACAATTATTGAATATAACTACAATTTCGTTGTAAATTTTATTTCCAAAATTGTATAGTTTTTAAAGTACTTTTGGTCCATAAATTTTCAAAATATATGCTAAACTTTTTAAGTGAAGACGAGTAAAGAATGGACTCATTATCCATCAAATTTTATATTGTATATCACCCCACTTTCGAGAAAACCTCGATCATAAAAAAAATGTCAAACTCTAATATGTTATAAGAGAAATCAATAAGTTGGATGTCTACTCCTCCTCCATGATCTTCTCAAATGCTTAATGACATATTCAATGATATATTTCTATGCTTAATGACATATTCAATGACGTATTTTTATTCACTTTTCATGCCTATATAAAGGCCTTGTAATAGATAGGAAAAACACACAATTGAAGAAGAAATAAGAATCTCTCTTCCTCTCATTCTCTCTATATATCTTAGCTTGTTTTTCCTTGTTCGATATTGTTATTTTGAGTTATATTTATAACACATTATCAGCACGATTGTCACATTCATTTTTACAATCACATCCTAGTTGTGTTCGATTCTCCTTCAGGTATATCACTATATATTCTTTTAGTTTATGGTAATATATATGTACCAATATGCTATTTATTAACAAATTCATATACTGTTAAGCATTTATTTTAGTTGATCATATTACTGAAGTTCTCTTACCTTGCTTATTGTTAAAG